CCCCAAAACCCCAAAACCCCAAAACCCCTTCAATCGAGATTAGTTATGAAATTAAGAATATAACTATTTATTCATTTCTTACCTATAAACTTATCTTCAACTTCCATAATCTTTGGTGGCACATACTTGTCTGGTTTCCATAATGAATCTTTGCTCATCTGCTGAATGAACTTTGAAGTTTTAATGTTTTGATCTTTAAACTACTTTAATATTTTGTCAGTGAAGAAGTTCTCTGTGTTGCACTCTTGCTCGTAGTTTCTATCATCAATCAATTCAGCAAGGCTAAAGGAAATTGTTGTATAAGTGATATTAGTTACCTAACTTTGCCTTGATACTCTTTATTTGCATTCAAGTTCTAATTAAAGTAGAGTCTATCTTCTTCAACTTAATCTATATATGAGAGAGCTTGTACTATCTTCCTATTTTGTTTGTAAAGTGCATTCATACTATAGTAATAAGATTCATTAATCAAGTTCTTACTTTTTCATTTAATTGAGACTGAGCTCTGACTCTTTAAAAGACATATTGACATTGCAACTTTAAAGAATGTTATTCAGTCTGCTTCTTCTTGACTTGAAGAGTCTTTCACTCTACTCATTCATTCTCTGTCTTTACTATCTCTACTTAGTAAATGATAGCTTTCTCTGAAAGACAGGAAAACCAATTACCTTACTTTATTCTTATTGCTAAGTCAAATATGTGTCTGTTGAGTCTAGCTATGTGCTTAAGTTATTCATTAGTATTCTTGAGTCGAAACTATTGCCTGTTGTTTTGCTATAATTTTACCTTTAGTTTTTATATTCATTTCTCTATTAACTCTCTCTATTCATCCCCAAATTCAGCTTTATTTCAATGGCTCCAACATAAATTGGGGATTACAGTTTGATAAGTTCCTTTTGCTTTTTCTGATTTGACACTGGACTTCTAATAAGTTCTCCTAGCATTAATTTTTGCTAAACACTTTGGAGTACACTAATGTTACCTAGACTTTATTCATTCTATTATTCTGGATTTAACTTCTCTTGATTATTTTATGTCTAAGTATCTATAACACTTAGAGTATTCCTGCTTTCCTCAAACTATGATACTTCACCTTGCGACTATCTTTTCTTAACTTGCACCTTTTCATAATCCTTCCTGATACTCCTCTCAGCACTTTTTATTAGCTCTACTTGAATCTACTCTTTCCTTTATTATACTCTCATCATTTATTTGAATTTATCTGCCACAGTTTATCTAATTGAATTATCTGACATCAACGACTTTTTTTTCTTATTCATTTTTATTTCATACTCATCGTAAACTCTTTTGATCTTTTCTTATAGTGCTTGTTTTTGATTAAAACTAAGCTCATCTCTGCTGGTTGGACTTTAATAATCATGCACAAATTTACTGTAAATATATCTTGATTAGATGGTATCTTTTTGTCGTTTGATTGACTGCATTTGCTTGCTCATATTTTATTGAATTAGTCCACTTTAGCTAACTTAGCTTTTGGCTTCAGTCTGATTAAATTTATTTTTGTAAGGAGGTTTTACCATATACCTCCGATCGAAGTCATTTTCATTTGGGGGAACTTTAAGGCCCAGAACCTCATCATAGATCTTCTTAGAAGTCTTTGTCAAGAGATGTGGGTCAAAATTCTAATGGTAAACTTCATTATACTTAAGCAACTCCTGGATGTAATACGGGTGTGTCTCAAGTGGGTTTGAGGAGTACCTCATAAGACGAGTCTTTTTGAAAGCTTAAAACTCTTTTTACATACTTTGGGATTATCGAATCGGTGATTGTTGCTATGATACTTCATTGTTAAATGAATCTCTAATTTATTTGAGTTTTTGAAGTCTATGTGTTTGGTACCTTTAATTTCTTATCTCAGTTCCAATTCTTTAATTATTATTTCAACTAGGTGTGCTGTTTATAGGAATCACCAAATTATTCAGAATGTCAAGCCTCTCATTGCCCCATAATGAATCTCTCCTTTCAAAACTAAGCTTTTAAATATCTCGTTGTTAACTGCTTTATCTGTTCTTGTTCTGACTTCTTAAATCATGAAATACAATGTCAGGGATATCAGAATTTCTTGAAAAATTATAGTTTTGCAAAGATGATGAAATCTATTCTGACATTATATATAGCTCAATTTATTTTTGATAATCTAGAAATAATATACATTCATCATTCGGGGTTTTGGGGTTTTGGGGTTTTGGGG